GAATCTAAAATATTGTATTCAAATATTGTAAGCAACTTCGATGTACAACTACAGATTTCACCCGAAAAACGCGTTACGCACTGAGTTACCCACCGCTTTGTCTCGGTGGGTTTACCATTACCCTTCTATCGCTTCATGGATTAAAGTAAGATATTTCAATTTTTCATATTAGCCTATGTTATTTGTACATTGTCAAATTATGAGCAATATTTATGTGTTACCAAATCAGAGAAAAATTAGCATTTGGTGTCAGATTATCAGCTTTAATAGCATACTGGCTGTCAGTTTCATCGAAAATTTTTTTCCTGAAACAGCAATACACAATTCCTCTGGATTAATTTAAAAGTTTTTATATAATTCAATTAAGTTCATGATTTTACCATCTTCGACCACTGTGATTGTCTTGATGAGTATCTCGTAACAAGAAAGTGAATTTTACTGTAGATAGTAACGCTGGTAGATTACCTTTTCGTGGTGGTATCCGAACCCTACACGGTAAGAAAAAAGTACCCAACGGCCAGTTCACTTTTACCTACTTTTGATTAGCTTGTCTCCTTTTTTATATTCTATATTTAGAAAATTTTTAGCCGTATGCTAGTTCATCTCCTTTTCTCCTTCTATTGTTGTCAAAAACGGAGGAGCAAAACCATCCAACAGGGGTAGTAAAGTGTGGGAACCCAACGTTGAGTATAATCATAATTACCGACTTTTGTGAACAACTAACATACTTTTGGGTAGAAAGCGAATGGAAAATTCCATTCGAATTGCACACAATTTAAAGAAAACTACTTTGACCAGCGTTACCTACATTTTGGTTCCTGCACTATCGTGCCGTAGTGAGTGAAAATAACTTACTTATGGGATTTTTTTTACCGTGTAGTTCTTAAAACTTAAAAACTAGGGAACAGGATTTTTCAGTAAACAAAGGAATACATTTTAGTCCTTGTTACTTTGTATGCCTTGTTAATAGTAACAAGACTCCCACAATGCCTGTTGAATTGTGAAGTTAATTTATATTAAATTAAAAATTTAAATGAACATTTCTTGAAAGAAGAGATACTTTTGGGTAAATTGCTCAGCGCTTATCTACTAAAGTGCAAGGAAAAAGTGGTTTTGTGCTGATATTTCTTAATGAAATTAGCGGCAATTGACGTATTAAATACACACTTAGAAATAACTAATATTACACGTGACGGAATCCAGCTTTGACATAAATGATGAGACGTAAACAAACATGTCATGTAAAATTAAGTGCTCCGAGACTGAAAAGTTCGAAAGTACGTTTGATTGAGCTGAATTTCGCGTCTATTATGACTTAATTTTATGTCAAAATTGACGCTAGTATATGTCAGTCTCAGAGCACACATAATTTTTTCTAAGTGTGTAGACTAATCGTACCTGAATTATCCTAATCGTATATTATAAAACGCTATGTACGCGTCCGGGAAGAAAAAGAAAAGTTGGATCATAAATTTGAAGCAGATAATTTCGCATGTGCTGTGATTCCAAGAGTTGGATGGAGGTTTATGGTGGTGGGTTTTGCATTAATGCTAATTAGGAAGAGTGCCATGTTCTCAGTTTATGTATTGTTATGTGGTTGTGTATATTTCAGGCATAACATTTGATAACGGCACAAAAGCATTTGTAAACAAACTTTCTAAGGCCCTTTACACGCGAACCAAAGTACGCCCACGCAAACCAACAACATCATCGGATAGGGGCAACTATCACCTTTTCGAAAGTGGTATTGGTTTACGTGGGCGTACTTTGGTTCGCGTGTAAAGGGCCTTAGAAAGTTTGTTTACAAATGCTGTTGTGCCGTCATCAAATGTTATGCCTGATTTTTCCTTTTCTTTCTTTTTGAAATTTTCAAAATTTATTTAAGGTACTTAGAAATAACTAATTTTACACGTGACGGAATCCATCTTTGACATAAAAGAAGGAGACGTAAACAAACACGTCATGTAAAATTAAGTGCTCCGAGACTGAAAAGTTCGGAAATACGTTTGATTGAGCTGAATTTTGCGTCTATTATGACTTAATTTTATGTCAAAATTGACGCTCTTATATGTCAGTCTCAGAGCACCTAAATTTACATGAAATTTTCGAAGTGTGTTGTATTGGTGCTTCCATGGTGATTGTTTTTGGTGAACTTGTTCCAGTTAAACAATCCGTTTGTTTCCTAGCAGGATAACTTTGATCGCGCGTGTTCTATTTTGCGATTTTAGTTAGAACATAAGAAAAGCGATACTGTCGATAAGGTGTGGACCCGAATGCAAGAACATAGTTGAGTCTTGTGGGGGAAAATACATTACGATTTATCCCAGGCTACTATTGTAAAAAAAACGTAACTCATACATCTTGGGCTGAACGCTTCGGAATGTTTGGGAAAAATAGGGTGCACACTTGATCCAGTTTGTGATTGTTTGCTTTCGAGGACGTGATTTCATTTGAATAGCTTGATTAACCAGGACTTAACGTAACGTAACGATGTCGGTCATAGTTTGTTATGATGGCCTGAACAATGCGCCTGAGCAAATCGAAACATTGAACGTCGCATGAAAGTGGAACTTAATGAAGGCCTAAGTGCTTTACCGTAGTTTAGTTTTCGGATTTGAAATGTCGTCGGTTGCAGTGGCTGAGCAGAAAGACGTGGTCCCCGGTCGCTTTTGCTTACTTATCAGAAGACCGTGGGTTCAATCCCAAGCTCTTTCGCGTTATATGATCGTTAGGATATCAATTCAGCTAATCGTTTACCAAAACGAACCCTGCGGCAAACCAAACCCTCTTACCCAACATCCCAGTGATTCCTTGCGGAAGTGCAGAGGACTCCTCGGCTTCCATCAAAGCGAGTGTCACGTCAACACATTCCTACCCATTTCTTTCTAGACCTGCGTTCGGGCGCGACTGGTGCTAACGGGTGTTCAATAAAAAATGAGATTTTTTTCAGTCATACAGCTAGTAACAAAAAATTTTTTTTTCAGCGAATTCAGTATTTTTTATTAAAAACATAATGTTTATTCTTCAAAAAACGTCAATGAAAATTGGAGAAAGGGCCCTGGTCAGCCGTACGACGCAACTTAGTCGCGATGCTCTCACCAGAGCGCTGGACGGCACTGAAATCATTCTAATTTTTTTTATTGAGATCACCACTGTTTTCACATTGAGGATTAATTCGAATCCCAAGCATCGTCTAATGGTTCTCTGTGTAATTACAGCCTATCTGGCAATAATAGTATAGCAACCGTCTGCGGTCAATGTAGCTCTATCATTCTCAAGAAAGTGAATTTTACTGCATACATTAAAATAATGCTCATTCGATATCGATATTTTCAAATTTGAGTGATGATCGAGGGGTGTTCAACTCTGCACATTTCAATCTATGCCGAATACTTTATCTGTGCCAAGCGTTATGCCGAACGTGCCGAAGTGTGGCAATCAAGGTTTCGATCTCTGTATCCCATGAGTTTGGAAACCCTGTAGCTATGACTTTTGAGATCGTATGTTTACAATTTCAAGCTTTCGTTGACGGTTCTTCGAAAAACGAAGAAAAAAGTTGTGAACATAAATTCCAATATTAAACGACCTATTTGAGTACATATGGAATACGACTGCCTGTCCTGTTGAAAGTAAAATGAGTGTAAAATAACACACGTGAACGTGTGTCATTCCTTTCTCTTGGATCAACAATGCCACACGGGTGTTTCATGAAGGAACGACATCACGATCACAGCAGAAAATACAGCAAGGATTACGAGTTCAAGCACCACCACGCAAGCATCATCAAAAGCATAGATTCTGATTTTTGATTCATCTCGGAAAAGGCAGAAGTAAAAAAAACTATCATTCGGTTCCGGTAAAAAACACGAATAACGATGCCACTTATTTCAAGATTTTTAGGCTATTAGTATGGCATCCAGAACTGAACTAAACCAGGCTAGAGAGTGCGAACCCAAACCAAGTCATGGAAGAAAAAAAGCCAAGACAGGGAGGACACCAGCAGGCATACCACTTCCCCTTACAAGAACTCGAGCTCGGGGCTGCTTAGCATTCAAAGTCCCATACAGTTCATGGAAAGGATCCCCACCATCTGCTCGATGTAGTGGTCAGCCATACGTCGCATATTCTCAGCAATTTTGCCTATCAATTCTCCTCGTTAGATGTTTCAGGGACAGCAGGCATACATTTCATACTCTAGCTCTGACTGTTTCCAAAAATGCGCCTTAAAGTATAGTTTGGATACTATCTTTCGTATTTTTTTTAATCGGCAGCACTTTTGACCGCATCTCATGCCTCTTTCATTTTATAAACTAGCTTGGTATATCTCTAGATTTTTTTTAGATCCTAATAGAATTCACTGTGTCTCCAGTATTGACAAGAGATGGGCGAAACCGATCACTTAGGTAAACGGCCCAGAACCGGTTCATCTATATAGATGATCACGTGACATACTTGTCAACGTGTTCCTTAACGTGCCGAACAGTATTCCATGCTGTGTTTCGGCAACAGTGTGCAGAGTTGATTACCCCTTGGTGACGATAAGTTAACATGAAGAACTATGGACACCTCAGCTACTGATATTTATACCATTAGTTTGTTAATTTCTTCTTTTGGTGAAATTTATTTCTATTTATTTGTATATACGTTATAAAGTGATTAATTTACCCACGGATTACGGTACTGATGGAAAGGTAAATTAATCAGGAGTCATCTTAAGGACACTATTTGCGGAATCCATTTTCATTACAATTTGTTATACCACCTCACAGTTTCACGGGTACACATCTGGTGATCTACTAAATGGACAAAGGTCTAAATGAATCTACATGTCTCTTGATGGACAAAAAAAAATCAACTCTTCATCTGAATTCAATACCGGAAGCGCGGTACTGTAAACCCTGCCGCCGCAGCGCTTGCTTGTATCGAAAGAAAATTAATTGCCCTCTGAGCGAACGTGGCTGTCTTTGTCGTCACTGCCCGAGTGCTGCGTACGGCGATGCCAGTCAGTAGCCAATCGACCGAGCCATGCTTAAACTAAAACATCGCTAATAACAACGGATGCGAATATATGTCTGTCGATGCGACAGTCGACTAACGCCGAGGTATTGGTTTGTTTCTCCCGAAATGACTATTCAATACGTCCCAAGAGCTTGTCTGATTCGGATCATCGGAAGCAACCCTCTACGGTTAAAAGGAGAAAAACAGGACAGAGCACCAAAAGTTTTCCACCACGCGATCAAGAGGCAGCAGACAACAAGACAAGAAAAGTGTACCTAGTCCTCCTGTTCATAGGAAGAGGGGGTGGTGATTGTGCATTTCACCCAGAACAAAGGTGCTGAGAAGATCACTGCTGTGGAAATCTAGGTGACGATAATTGTACAGGGTTACGAAAAGTGTGCTACATTTCCTGTGAAGGTGCTAAATTTACTAGAGTGTGATTTTTATACCAAAATATAGTACATCCGTTGTTTCCCGGTTACCGTGGAGAATCGTTGCACGTTCTGATGCACTTCTAAGAGCTCAGCTGTTTTATTGTGAGGCGTTTGAAAAGGAAACCAGTGCGAAATTAGAAACTACTTTTTACGTAAGAAGTTTAAGCAAGCATCCAAGTAAATCATTACTGGAAAAAAAAAATTACTTCAGATAACTCTTGAAGCGTAGTGCGATACAACACGTCAGTAGCGGAAAACTTATCCGAATGACAGTGCTGTTACATAAAGGCTAGAAGTAAAGTATCACAACCGTGGAAAAACGGGGCCATTTGCGGAGGTCGAGTCAGTGAAATCGTATTTGGTGCTGCGAAAAATCATTGAATGAGTGTATCTGGTAAGCGGTAGTAAAATCAGCGAATCGCTTTTTGTTTGTGGACAACGAGGTCGACAGAAGAAAATAACGCAAAAATCGTACGATTGCAAAGAAATATTACTTATTTACCAGCACCTCAAAGAATAAACGCGGGTGTTGTACTAGCGAAGCGTAGAACACAAAGTGATTCACGACGTCAGCTGTCTGCCTCTGTTGGTGGCGTGTGTACGTTGGCGGTTCTATACAGTCGTACTTAAAGATTATTGACCTCGTCGGATACCAGTGCATTGTGAAACACGGAAGAGCAGTCATAATTTTTAGAGTTCAAGGATCAAAACTATGATTTTACAGTAGCCGTACTAACATTAATCATCAGGTGAGGGAGTGAAGACCACAAATGTAATTATGATAAGTGCTTTGATGAAATGCAAACTTTTTCTGGTATAATCAGCATTCGGAGGCGTGTTTCTGCAGTATCAGTCTACATCTATGCGCAATATTTTTTCACGCGTAAACATAAACATACACAGACACTAAGTAGATTGGAAGAAAAGAAGGGTGTTTTTCCGCTCCGTTGTCGTTGTAGATACGACAGCTATAGCCATAGCATAGCATAAACAGATCATTGGTGAACACAGGCCTACGTGTTCACAAGTGTTTATGAATATTGTTGACATAATTTCCTTTGTTTTGCCTTCGCTTACATCAGTGCAAAACTGCAAAAGCAAATCAATATTTGTGTAACGATAAACGTGGATGATTGCATGGCTCTTTAATATGGGAAAGAGTTCCAATGGAATGTTCCGTTGGGCTCAGAAATTTTCCACCGATAGCGAGTTTTGCATACCGACCAGAACGAGGTCAATCAAATGCTCGCGAAGTGGTTTGCTTCCCTTTCTTGTTTTATTCAAAAGCAGCCGAAATGTTGCAAATGGCAAGCAATTAATTATATAGTCTCGAACCCATCACGAAAAGTTTGTAAATTATTACATTGCATCGTAAGAACTTTTTTTCACTGAAAATGGCATGATTTTTACACAAATTATTTCATGACTTTGAATAAAACCATGTAGAGGAGCGTAGTCTCCAGAAAAGTTAATATCAAAGTGCGTACGTGGAAAGACAGAGAATTATTGTGATTCTGATCCTGGGCGGATGATGTCGTTGTGATTGAAATTAAAGACCGATTCATGTTTTTGTTTTCCAATTCTGTTAATGGATCTTTTTTAAATGTCACATTAAATACAAATTTTTTCCAAGGGCGTAGCCGGGTATCGTACTCTCAATATTTCTGCATAAGTGGTATGCTGAATTACATCAAATTTCTATCTAAGCCTGATTACTCAAACAAATGTCTTTGTCCCAGAGTGTTAATAGTCCATAATTTAAAATATGTTGACATTTACGAAAATTTTCTTGGGTATCACAATCATTGAAATATCAAAATGTCAAACACTTGATGTTTTCAAGATCGCAATCATTAAAATTTTACTGGCTTCTCGAATGTTCGTAGAAAAGAAAATGACACAGATTCTTGAAAATGTCTCCTTGTCCGGGGCTTTTTCCATGTCCAACGTATCGATATATTGTCTTGGTTTGTGATCTTACCAGTACCTATATTGAAATAAATAATAATTAATTATTCATAATTCATACAAGACCTCACTTTAATTTTACTGTTTGGTTGTCTTTAAAATTCCTATCCTTATAGACAGCCACATTATACCTTGGTCTGGCGAAGACAAATCACAATCACCATCAGACTGCTGCAGAAGGCTATAACTTAGAGAGGGTCTAGGATAAGAAAGGAGTGGATTCAAAACAAACTGGCTTGGCAACTTATGCCTAGGCGCCGGAAAAAATCCAATAAATATACAGTGATTTTCATTGACATTGTAACCATGTTATTTTCTGTCAAACCTTGGACATTTTTGTCCATTTCCATAAAATCACAACAAAGTTCATGGTTCAAAACAATGAAAATCATGGTATTTGAGAAATTTACAGTTAAAAAGGGGGGTTGTTAAGCATTTTAACAATATAAAAAGTGATTTTTCTCGAATAAATTTGATCTCATCACACATCATCGCTAAAAATCGAAGTTTATTTTTTCTCCCGTACAATAATTTAACAATAAATGTTAATGTACTCGAAATTCAATACTGAAAATCATTGTAATTTCGTTGTTTTACTATAATTATTTTTTTTCGGGTGGTTTCCAGCAACACTGCCACTGCCAGTGCTTGATTGGCTCTTACTTTGACAGTAAAGTTCGTTTGGCTTAGTAATCTTATATATACACGGTAAGAAAAAAGTACCCAACAGCCAGTTCTCTTTTACCTACTTTTGACTAGTTTGTCTCCTTTTCTCCTTGTAATGTTGTCAAAAAACAAGGAGCAAAACCATCCAACAGGGGTAGTAAAGTGCAGGAACCCAACGTTGAGTATAATCATATTTACCTACTTTTGGGTACAACTAACTTACTTTTGGGTAGAAAACGAGTGGAAAATTCCATACGAATTGCACACAAGTAAATGAAAACTACTTTGACCCGCTTTACCTACTGTTGGGTTCCTGCACTATAGTGCCGAGATGAGTGAAAAGAACTTAATTTTGGGTACTTTTTTCTTACCGTGTAGAGATTCGCGGATGCGGCCATTTGGAGCCAATCGAGCAGCGAGAACTGTCAAAATGAGAGCCAAACGCGCATCAACTAGGGAAAAATCCGACGGTAGTCCGCAAAACTAGAGCCATTTTTCGAAGTTCAGCGTTTTTCAGAAAACGGAAAATTCTCACTTTGTTAAACTTCGTTGTACTTCAACGACCGCGATTAGGGCAAAACATGGCAATGCACTTTATATTCCATAAATGTTATTTGAAATTTAAGGAAACATAGGGGAAATGTATGTAATATCGACCTAAATGCTCCTAATTTGGGCTCATACAAAAATTTGAGAATTTACTAAATTTTCAATAGCGACCAAAAATATCCATTAGTACCATGCCAATGACGCGTTTATCTAGATAAAATTGATAAATAGCAGATTTTTAACAATGGGCCCAATCTTAGATCCATAGGCCAACATTAGAGCCATTTCTCCTAGTTGACCAGTTCACTTAGAATTCAAACAACGTAAACGAACTCGTAGCGTAGACAATAATAAAGTCACGCAGAAAGCTGACACAGTTTGCTCCGCTGCAAGGGTTTGCAGCTTTGTTAACAAAACAAATCACGTTGCCAAATCGTCTGATAATATTTCCGCTTATCTCTGTATATAGGATTACTAATTTGGCTCAAAAACAACCAGTCCGCTGCTCCGTCGACTCCTCCCCAGCCAACAATGTTGTTCACATTACTGAATTGTTACTCTGCTATGTGAATCTTTATTCGGTAAAAATAAATCGTATGAAGTGCATAAAATTCAACTATACGTACAAATCTGGAGGCCATATACGTGCATGTGGAAAAACACATTGTATGATTTCATATGATTCCATAGGGTATACAACTCTATGTATAACTTTATCTTGCATCTAATATGATTTTGTATATGCCAATAACTTATTTGAAATGTTATTTGTACGACTTTCAAATTACATCTCTAAAATTATGGCATACCAAAAAGCAAAAAGCATGAAAAAAATACCTTTTATAAATGAACCTTCAATTTTCTATAGTTGGTGGTACCTGGTGATATTGGTTTGAATAAAAGTTGGAAATTGAATTATCTTTTGAAAAGATGAACATATATTGACTTTAATATGATCTGCAATACCTAGTTTCGAATCAAAGATCTTTAGCTCCGTAGTCCTGCTGCGATCCTCACTGGCATATGAGCACGTATATTCGGAGCAATAAATTTCAAATTATTATTAAATCTAATTCGATCTAGTGTATTATATGATATCATTCCTCCTCTAGCTGAAACTGCTTATAGCAGTGCAGATTGCATTATACAATCTTGTGCTGCATGATATATGACTTATTATCTAACATAATTTCAACTGTACAATAATGTGATTCGTAATGGACTATTTTAATTTGCAACAAACATGGTTCCCAGAGAAACAGCAATGAGTACAAATTTGGGTTTGGTTGGTTGGTTTGAAGTGCTCGTAATATCTGGAAGGTAGGTGATATTTGAGCAGAACTTCACCTACATAGTTGTGAGAAATTATGTATTCCAAACCCATCCAAAGAGATATGTGGTCCAATGAGCGCATACGACGATGAATTTCACTTGGAAACCTCAATATTTACACTCCATTTAACCTTTTATGTCATCGATCCGGTTCACCATGCATTCAGTAATTTCCGCATTACTCCTAGTTCCAGTAAATGTAATACATCGGCAACAAATACGTCTTCCACCATATTAATCGGTAATTTCATTAACGGTGATACACCGCGTTGATGATCTGGAGATTTACCGTCACGGAATAGCTCATGAGTTCTCTGCTCCGTATCTACTTTTGGAAACACCATGGCTCTCGTATCTGGAGAATATTTCCACTTGGTTGTGCATTTAATCCATGTTTCCCGTTTAAGTTTTACAACGCAATTTTCAATGAAATCCGGTGGTTATTTATGAGTACACCAGAATCCAAAAGTAGCAGTAGCTCTTGTATCATCGGTGACAAAAATTCATCAGCATCCATGGGTTTACTAGCTCCATAGTAAATTCCGATAGTCATTGGTTGAATGTGAGGAAGCTCATGAATATTGGCAACAATTGACTGCTACTTTTTGTTTGTTATGGTCCAATATTTTGTTTTGACTGATCTTATGTACACATATATGAGATCATCAACATTTTTAAAATAGAATGCGTTAAATAATTCCTTATTCACATCAAACGAATCTCGCAAAGAGGATTATAATTGAATCATAATTTTTCATCTTAAACAATTTCAACCAATTTGGAATTGCATCTTATGCAACTTCAACTTGATTTGAATATTTATACGATTTTAAACGAACATCCTTATACGATTTGTGGTTATCTGGGTCTCTTTTACTAAACCCTCTCTACTCTCTATTATTACTGAACACACATTTTGAAACCAACATCAATCTAAGGCCATTCGCAATGCTGTTGAATGTTATATGAACTATTTCAATTTGAAACCAGAACAGAAACGCACTCCTCGCAATGCTGAGTTGCAGTTTCATTATTCGAACACAGTTTTGCACCAGATTTTCAACCGTTCGACTATTTGGTTTTATTTCCATTCAAATGAAAGGAACTCTGTTTCAAATTTCTTTGAATGCATTTATTTATTTTTCCCGTAAATTTTCAGAGAACTTCATAGAAGTTGAGAAGATTCAATAGATGTTTGGGAATTTGATAGAAATTTTGGGAACTTCGGAGAAAT